CCCCTCTCCCCTTTTTTTTTTTGGGGGTTTTTGTTTTAATTTTTTTTTTATTTTTAAAAAAAAAAAAAAAAAAAAAAAAAAAAAAAAAAAAAAGGAATATCTTTGTTTGTTTGTTCACACCTGCAGGTTGTTGGTGCATTTTGCATCATTTCCCAAATAACCTCAAGGTTCCTGATGATCAGACTTTCCATAGAAAAGCGTCATACAGTTCCAGCAACTGTAATTTCTCATATGTTATGTCTGTGAATACCATGTGAAAAGACCTACCTTCTACCTCTACTAGTGCTGTTAAATGTGTTATTTTTGCTTTTTTGAGATGTTTTGACCTCTTTCATGTTGTCAGACAGAAGCAGTTTAAGTGATTATTTGATTCTAGCATTCTGGCTGAATCACGAAGAATGTAGTTAATCAAAGATTAAGTTTAAGCAATTATCTTTGTACGCAGTGGCAGGCTGCTGTGGATAGATATTTTACTTTAATAAAAAAAAACCCATCAAGTTATCTTTGTTTCATAAAATTTGTTTCATGATGTGAACATTAATCACCGAAGGAAAAAAAAAAACTGCACAAATTTAAAACTGACTGCTAAACATGAAAAAAAACACTCAGAGCTCTTGGTGTGACTCTGCCAATGCAACAAGTAAATATTTTTTCTTCAAAGCGACATGTATAAAAGTGCAGTGAGAATGTTTGTGTCTGAGAAATTATTCAAGTGATCTAGTCACACAGAAAATGACAGACATAGAAATAGATACTAAACAACAACTAAAATTAACAATGAGATTGAAAGAAAACAAACCTTGGATGTTTCACTTTGAAATGCCAGTTTCTCTCTGTATCATTTCTAATAATTTATTGTTTGTTTTACTCTGTTTTAAAAATGTATCCCTCATTGTGCAGCTTCACAGCTGCTTTTGAGATGAGGTAAGACTTTGGGAATATGGCTTTATGAAAAGAATAACATATCACAGAGATGAATCTGGTGTTTTCAGGAACAGCGGTCGGATCACAGGTCTGAGCCAAGAGTCTGCTTTGGGAATGACCTTTTTTGGTTTACTTTATATACTCATTTGTACTCTTCTGATTTCCACCCTCTGCACAATACTCTGTTGTAAAAATGTCAAAAAATCTAACTTATTTTGTTTACTTGTTTTCCACAAAAAGGTTTTTGATCTTCTTATGATTTCAGAGCCAAAATGAAGTCTCCTTTTTTTAAATTTTTGCTTTGTTATCAAGTAGATCTTCACACAGCTGTTCTCACATATCAGTTCTGACAGCAGTAAATATTCCAGTAGACGACAGGCTTATTCAGGCGTATAAAATTGTCCATGTTATCTCTATCAATCTGTTTCTTGTTTATTTATCTCAGGGGGATTTCAAGGAAAACAGGTTTACGACAGAAACATGCCTCTCTCCTCTGGGGTATCCCAAATCATTAAAAGTACACAGAGCATTTCATCTACCTACACATTTTGTGCTCCATCTTTCATTGAATGACACGAGAGGAAACTTGGCACTGCTCTGCTTGAGGAAGAGACTAATCCCAAACCCAGAGGGACCAGTCCACCTTTTTTTTTTTTTCCCTCTTGCGAAAAGGAACTGACTAATGTTTGCTGCCTCACACTAGCAACTCAGCTAACATCGTGCTTGAAGACACTAATGGAGCCAGATCATCTGCGAAAAAAAGTAAAATGAGACCCTGAGGATCCCAGAACAGATTCCATCCCCTCAAAACTATCCCTTGAGATCCTGTTGATAGATAAACCACACAAGATTGGAGATAAATGGCAAAGTCCAATCCGCACGGGTAAGAAACTCAGCTATGTACATGACTTTAGGTAACCAAGTGGATAGAAAAATCACAATGAAAAATTTGGCTTGCATAGATGTTTAGTCAGGCACATATTGAATTATTTGTATGCAAATCAAAGAAAAAGCAAAAAAAACAAAACTATTTTTGCATGTATTCAGATTTAACGCATCAGGAAATTTTGTGTGTATTTTTAAGAATGTCTAAATGTGTAAAAGAGTGAAAGTGATTTAAAACAGCTAATCAAACCAGAAACATGCATAACTACTAACCATCACATTCACATTGAGACCATAGCAGCATTCGAGACTCGGTTGTTCTGAGATGTGTAGAAGCGCCCTTTTAAAAATAGACCTCTGAATGAGTCTCCAGAGTTTTTCACCCGGCTTCACATTTAGCCTAAAAGACGTGCTTGTCAGATGATTCACAGTTTTCTATTAAATCAGATGAGTGACTGCAACAACACTGAGTTATAGAAGTTTCTGTCAAAGCATCCGCATCCTTTGCTGCTCATAAAAATAAAAAAAAATTAAAAGAAAGTGTTTCTGTTACTTTGCAAAGCTCTCTTTCATCCTACTGTCATGTTTTAAACTGAGTCCTTGGCTGTCAGACAGAACATTAACATTAGACTCTGCTAAACGTTTTGAAAATCAGCTTCCAGAGAATTGCTATGACAAGATTTTTTTTTTATACCAGCTACATATTTCATTTCATTTTTGATTTACAAAAATCTATTCAACTTTGCATATTTTAGCACATATCAACCCACCTTTGTCTCCCCTCCTTTCTCTCTTTCTTATTTATTCCCCAAAGCCAGTTTATTCTCCGTCTGTCATTCTCCACGCTCCGTAGCGTCACACTTTAGCCCGTTACATTTAAATCACTCTCAGCTCATTCCTTCATTCCCCTTACATTCATTGCACCGCGGTGCTCTGTGAACCCACTGCAATCTTACCCTTTCACAGTCAGAGTGGTTCCTCAGGCAGACACTGAGATCACAGTGTAGGTACACCACTGAGTAATTAATCATTTGGAAGAGACTGATGGTAAAGCTGGCACTGGTTGACAAGGCGCTGGGCAGCAGCGTGATCCCCGGCGGCTCCGCTCCTGGCCTGAGAGACGAGCACAAGTGGATTTTATAAACTTGGTTGAGACGTTTCTCTTGAAATCAAACCGAAGGCTCGGCCGTCTCCAGAAGCCAAAGCCGCACTGACTAGCAGACGTGAAGGCGGCAACACAGTGCAGAAAAAAATGATCAATATTTAATAGTGGTGAGAGGTGAAAGCTTAATGGCAAACAAATCATGTCAGGCAAAAGTCAGCGTTAAGAGTTATAATGGTTTGACATTGGTATCATCACATTTAGTAAGGATGCTGATAGCAATATTGGCAAACGTTATAAAATCTTATACTTGAATTGGATTTCTTACAACATAGGGGTCAGTACTTAAGACTAACCCTAAAATGAAACATCAAAATTGCTTTTCAAGAGAGAACATTTTGTAACGCTGTTGTTTTCTTGCTGAAACAAATATGAACTCTTTGTTTATTGGCGCGTCGACATACTAGTTTGTGCATTTTAACAGCGACGTGTCTGAGTCTCCAGGATAGCAATAACTGCTGGCACGAGACAACGTCAAGCAGCTCGTGTTGACTAAAAATATTTAGCTATTAAGATATGTTGTTGTTGTCGTCTGAAGAGATTTACCTTTATGAGATATCACTTCTTTTGTAAATGAGCAACATTTCTTGTGTTCCAACAACCATCGAAAATCAAACCATCTATATTTAGCTCATATATACACAATTTTTGACTAAAATGTCCCAGTTTAACTTTACTCTCAGTGAGCTTTTAAGCTCACAGTATAAACACCAACACAAAATCTTTTCATCCGCCGTTTTTGACTCGTTCCAGCTTACCTGAAAAAAAGGCAGCGGGTGGAGTCGTTGAAGTCCGGCTGACGTGTTGGTGACAGGCAACAGGCGGTGACGCCAAGGTTGATCTGACTGTTGTTTGTCTTCAGATTGATGATCGCTCTGAGGTTCCCTCGGGCCGGCACCACATCGCCAGGCTCCACACTTCTTCCCATCTTCAGCCTCATTTCTGCGGTGTAGTTTCCACTGCCACAGATGTCATCTGAAATTTCTGTCACACTAGCAGTGGATCAATATCTCATTATTGTTCGCGATTTGTAATGGGATTTGTTGTCTATTTTAAGTTACATTTATGCGAAATATTACAAAACAATTTCATTTATTCTCACCTTTTTCATAGTTTGTATCTTGCCATATTTCCTTTCATACAGCAACATTTGACTTTACAGATAAAGCATCATACAATCCATCACCATAAACACCCTTGTAGGACGAATGGTAATCATGAAGTGCATGGATTTAAAATTTGGCGCCCACCAAAAAGCCTCTTTGCAGAAAGAAAGTCGACCAACAACCTGGCAGCTAACCCAAATGGCGATGTCATCAAGCTAACATGCTAACACTAATAATATTTAGCAGTTGCTTTTTTTCTTCATCATCGTAATTAAACAATGACCAGACAGACAACACCTACTCAGGAGAAATAAGAACAAAATGTCATAATGTCCAATGAATCCCTTTAAAAATGACTGTTTCGATTTCTGAGACGAATGGCAGGGATTACTACACCTTCATGCAGCGTTCAGATTTTTTGAGATGCACCAGTACATGGCAGATGCCAAAACACTTTGATGTACACAATTTCACAGCACGGTTTCCACTCTCTTATATAATGTTTGTTGTGAAGCTCCAGCAGAGTTTCCTGTGGCGTGCCAGTTATTTCAACACAGAAATTACCTGTTTTATTGACTGCATTCTTGCGTTTGCCCTTGAGAGACGCACCAGAAGATAAAAGAGTAAGTGAGCAGAGAATAAACAAAAGATGCATTGTCATTAGGATTGTATCAGCGGGAAGTTTGTTTCAGACAAAACAAAAACAGAGTCGCTGCTTAATAAATTAAATGAAAACAACTGATGCTGAAATCAGTGAAAACTGAACGCAGAATCCATGTAAGATTATCAGGATTTAATTTATAGTTCCCTGTTAAGAGATTTTATTTAGTCTTTGCAGTTGGTTGTGTCAATTAGTACGGTTGAGAGAGGAGTGGGAACATCTAAGATAAGTGCATTTACTTTGTCACTTTGTTGCATTCAGTGGTTAAAATGATTTATGACAGTAATTTATAGGATAGTCAACAGCTCAGCTCTGTTCCAAATGTTTACCAAGCTCTCAGTGCAGTCTGACCAAAACCCATTTCAAAAGTTCAAGTATTTCAACCCCCTCAAGGTAAACCCAGGGAGGATCCACAGAGAGCCGTTTCATTTTTATTTTATTTATTTTTACTTTCCTGTGCTCACAGAGGAAATGAAAACATCGGTGATGGGCTTGTGTCTGTATTCAGAGATGTTTGATACAATAACGGTAGAATTTTCCCACCTGCTGAATTTAGTAGCGGATGGATAAAAATCATCAAAAAAATTAAAATTAAAATAAAACTACAGCCATGCCATCTGCTGACGTTGGTCCACAGCTGTCTAACAGCACATTTTAAATCATTTCATGATTCCCCCTGCTGCTTAGTGGACATGATGATTGTAATTTCAAGCACAATTTAGTGCTGCTGACCAAAAATGCAGAAAGTACCAAAAACTGCTCTAAAGATCATTGGATTGCTGCTCATTTTGTGCAACTGCTGTACCGTGCATCAAAAATATTTTTTGATAAACCTTTTTTTTTTTGTAAAAAAAAATTTGTGCAGTTTTATATTTGAGCTATGTGAGAAATATTTTTTAATTAAAGATCAAAATAAAGACGAACGTGTAAAATGTCTCACTGTGTACATTTTAATTCACACCTTGCTTTTAAAATGACTATAATAAGTACATTTTTGGACAATACTGTAATTTCTACAGATCCACCTGCAGATGAAATTCAATGAATCAGTGGGATGTGCTAGAATATCTGGCATACTTACTATAAAATGCTGCTCTACCTTCGTTTTATCTGTTACCAGGTTAATAATAGAAATGGTAGAAGACGTAACAAGATTACCCAGAGACATACTGATGAGGTGACGTCCTTCTCCTCTGGTTCAGCCTTGGGAGCTCTGATTTAGTCTGCGGCTCTGACACTAACAGCCTGCTCCCAGACTCCAGGCTTGCCGTCTTGTCCTTAGCATGGGCACGCGGTGACCTACTGACATTTTGTTCTGCCAGCATCCTGGCTCTGCCTACTCTTCTGTCTAATTGTGTTTTGGTGTTTCCTTCAACAGGCAGCGTCTTCTCAGTGGACTTTATTGTGGTTTCCACAGCAGCCGCTCCAGACTCAGACAGTGTGCCCTCTGTTGCGACAACTCCAAAGGTGTTCTGAAAGCGTCTTTGTGTCGTTGTCGTCACAAACCGAGTCCACTGAGGTGCGTCTTTTCTTTCCAAATGAACAGTTTCATCTGATGTACTTTTGGCCTTTGTTGACGCCGTGTCATCACTGGTGTAGTCCTGCTCCCATTTACTGGTGACTGAGAAATGCAACACTTTGAGCTCGACAGCCTGGGGTGCAGATTTTTCAGGTAACGAGCGATGAAAGCTCCAGTTGCTTCCGGATTTTGTTTTATTAGCGTTTTGGGCCAGGAAATTATTTTTTTCTGGGAATCGAGTTTCAAACATTTCCTTTGTGGGATCAATCACGACTGCCTCAGTAGTTTCACCAGACTTTGTACAGCCAGAGCTGCTACAACTGGTTGTATTAACAAACTCTGTGGGTGGGATCTCTGCAAGAGGTAGAAAATCTGTCACATGACCCAAGAATGCTTGGCTTATTGAGGTTCTTTTGGGCAACGTGTGGTTCTTCTGTTTTTCTACCCGGTCTTGTGAGTGCTCTCCATAAATATTCACAGGCAGAGGAACTGATTTAATCCCTTTAAGTGATAAATAGCTCATTTGTTCAGACGCTGCAGGTGTCTGGACATATGACTCTGAAAAGCCAGACTCTGCCATATTAACATCGTGTGATAATGCAGTCGTAGAAAGCAGGGCATGCTGGCCTTGTTCAGCAGCTCGTGCAAGAATCTCCTCCTCTGGCTGCTCCTGCACACTATGCGCTTCCATTGTTTTTATTCTCAAAACAGCGGGGGTGAGCTTGTCAGAAGTGTGAGTTATGGGAAGCTCTCTCTGAGTCAAAGGATTAGGACGAGCGTAGGGCTGAGATCTGTGCTCAGCTGCATTCTGAGTTAACTTCCTACTGTCTGGCAGAGTCCCACTGGTGACCAGCAGAGATGTAAAGCCTCTGAACTCAGCGGGAGTCTCTGTCAGAGAGACAAAGTCAGCGGTTTTATTTGCGTTTGTCTGAAATTGAGAAGCAATGTGTCTTGCCTGGTCAAAAGTCTGGCGCGTAATTTTGTGGATCGCACGGTCAGTGCTTGAATTCATATTTGTAATCAGGTCTGAGTTGTTACCCTCACTCTGCTGTGACAGAGGCTGGTTGTCGTGCCTTACATTTGTCTTTGCCAAGCGATGCTCAATATCAGACAATGAGTTAGGCTCTTCGTCAGACTGTATTTTAGGCCTTTCGGGAAGATTACCCGTCTGGAAAATCGTGCCGGTGCCAACTCGATCGATCGTGTCAGCATCATTTGTGTCATGCCCAAATTCCCCATTTGTAGCCATCGCAGTGTACGGCACGGCTTTTTCTAACTCAAAGTGCTGATGATGCTTCGCAGTCATAATTATATTGCTTGCTTCATCTTTGCCACCAGCAGTAGAAAGGTCACTCTGTTTAGTCTCATTCTTAGTCTGAAGGGAAGTGGAGTTGAATTCATCAGTGTCATTAGCAACATGTTTACTCCCGACAGTCGTACGTTGATCACCCGCGACTCCATCTGAATGTCTCACAACGGATGTCATCATGAGCATAACATCTCCTTTCTTTTCTCTTTGACTTGTTGCTGCTGGTGAGACAGCCTCTGTCTCACCAGCGGCCGCTAACGAGGACTCTCTGCTGTTGGATCCAGGGACAAAGTGGGCCTGCTGTGATCCAGTCAGCTTCTGCAATCCGTAGGTTACAGTCAACCTGTCACCACTTAACGTCCTCGGTTTCATCATCGGTGACACGCTTTCGGGAGAAAAGGCATTGATTCCTGCTGCAGGGATGGCGGACGACGACGTGGTCCGCGCCTGTGGAAGTCTCTGCTTGTTTTGCGCAGCGGGAGAATGTAAAGTGTCTGGATGCGATGCCTGCTCTGACACCCTGGAGAGACATGTCTGGCCTGGAGTTATGTTAGGGCATGAGGAGGAGGAGTGACTCCTCTGAGTAGCAGACTGCCCTCGGTGAGGCTGAAATGGGCCCACAGAGATGCGGGGTTTAAATGACAAGACTGCGACTGTGGGTGTCTTTGCGGATGAATCATCGTACATCTGCTGGTGTATGGATGGCGTGGCATATTCCACATGCTCTTGCTCGATCGCTGTGTGTGAAACTGCTTCGGTCCTCTGAACAGGATAGTTCAATTTATGCTTATGATCTGTGTTGCTCTGAATAATTGATGCATTGAGAGAACCGCTCACGGTAAAGTGGGACTCGGCTCTCTGAAATCGGGTTGTGAGTGAAGGCAGTTTAGCTGCGTTAGCGGCCCTCCCGCTTGGGGAAATAAGTGGCGTAAACACAGAAATAGATCCAGACATTTTTGACGCGGCAGTGGCAGGAAGCGTAACCTCAAACTCTTGAGAACTTGTTTCCTTCGGTGGTAACATAATGTCTTCTTTTGGAAGCTCCTCCTCCCTTGGATCTGGTGATCTTACAGATGGGTGTGGCAGCTGGTGATTGCTTGTCACCTCGAAAGAAAATGACTTATTTGTTAGGTCTCTTATTTGTGAAGCATTTTCACCCAGATGAATACCCTTGAGCTCAGAGCTGTCCGACTCTTTAATCAAACCAGGACAGGGAGACAGCTTTTCAACAATGCGCTCTTTGTCTCCGTTAAGTTCTTTCCAATTTGTTGCCTGTTCAGGGGGAACATTTGTCACATCCTCCTTCCCAATATCCTTATTAAATTTTCTGTCCTCCCCACTTCCAGCCTTTGCTCCGTTTTCCTCCAAAAACTGTTTCTGCTTTCCAGTAGCATCCAGGGTTGAATTCTGCGTATTTATTTTAGTCACACCTTCTCTTTTGGCGTCTCTCTCATCTTTGACCTCACTGTGTTGTGTATGTTTGTCATGTCTCAGAAGTACATGCTCTTCTCTGCTTGTCTTGCTGATGAACTCTTTCATTTCTCCAGCCTCTCTGTATCTGCTTTGCTTTATCTCTGCTGCTCGTTTTTCAATTTCAGGATCATCTAATCTTAATAATCCCTCCCTTTTGTTTTCCAGGATTGCATCCTCTTTGAGAAACATTTTTGTAATTTCTCTGCCGTGGCTGCTGTTGGACTGAAGAGTGTCTTTGTCCTTGTTTTCAGTAACTACACTCAAAATGCTTTCTCTCTCATCTCTAAGCGTCAGACTGTGAATGTTGTGTAAGTCTATTAATTTGCTATCAGGCCTGTTGCCTTCAAAATCCCTCCTCTCAGTGATTTTTGATTGAGTTTCTATCTGTTTCTTATTGAAAGACATACTTTTTGGTTCTGTTAATGCCAACTGAGAGACGTCAAAGTCAAAGACCTTCAGCCTAACTTTTCTTGTAGGAAAAGTTGAAGTTTGTACTCTGGTCACAGCTGTCGTACTCGCTGTTGTTTGGAGATTAGCAGGAGACTGTTTATGAGTGACAGATGCAAGCCTAACTGTTAAATCCTTCGGTAACAAAGTCAATATCGACTGTTCAGCCCGAGACGTAGGTTTAGGTTTTGTTTGGCTGTTGGACACAGAGATGAAAGTCCCAGCTTTTCCTGTCAGAAAACCAGACTTGAGATTTTTGACTGTGGAAACAGTTGGCCTGCGAAGGGTGAAGGGTGTTACTGCAGCAAGAGCTTCGATTGAGTTCATTCTTGTCGGATGTGAAGCAGTGCCATGAGCACGACCTTTCAGGAGAGGACTGTTAAAACTGCTGAGGGGAGCAAAGAAAGGCGCATTGCTCACTGGCCCAGTGCTGATGTCCTGATTTCTCAAGCTTGTTGAGAGACTGTGGGAAGCCTTTTCCTCGCTCTGAGTGAAAGGCATCGGATTTGACTGAGGCTCCCTTATGGAGACATTTTCGTTAAATGTCTCTTGGTGTCCATGTTTTACTGGTTTCTCGCCGGTGTAAGAAGGCTTTGATGAGGGATACTGCGAAATGGATGTTAACTTTGGACTTGCTGTGACAAAGATGTTGCTGGGATGGGTACGACTTGGTGGTAGTGTTGTGAATTTGTGTTTTTCAGATGACAGTTCAGCAGCAATATGAGAGGAAAAAGAAACAGTTTTTCTCTCAGTCTTATTATGGGTAAAAGGAAGAGATGTGTGGTTGTAATTTATTGCATTTTTGAAAATGTTGCTCTCTTTGGTCTCTTTGCTTTTCCCAGTTGAAAACGAATGGGAACTGTTTAATGAAGCAGTAGAGCTGGCTGCAAATTTCTCGCTGGACATTGCTTTTCCATCTTTCAGACAGGTCAAACACAAGTCTGTCACATCATTTCCTTTCATTGAATCTTTTGTTGGATCAGCTTGGAGGATGAACTGCATTGTACTAGGCAGATCCTCATTCTCTCCCAGTTTTCTTATGCTCTTCTCTTGAGGTCGTAAATCATCACTGTTGTTAAACAGCTCCGTCAGGTTATCAATTACACGAGGAGGAGATGCAGATGGGATTGGAAGTAAAAGTCCTGTATCAGCAGATGTGGGAATAACAGAGTTGGCATTTCTGCGGCTCCCGGTTGCACGCGGCACAGAAAACCATGGAGGGGCTTTGACTGCCTTGGCAGACAAATGGACACGTGGCTCAAAGGTATCATTCAACACCAATGCAGTTGGTGTGGAAGACGAAACGATCTTTGCGTAATCAGACTTCAGTGGGACTTTTGATTTTGAATGGAAAGCTGTTGATGATTTTAGAGAGCTTTGCACGTTACTGGAGAGAATATTTCCCGTGCTTTGTAAAGTAGTGGCTAACGATGCGGTTGGCATCCCCTCATTAGTTGGCTTTAGTTTTGTGTCAAACACGTTTGCCTTTGGAAACTCGGCAGTCGGCTCCTCCTCTATGCGTCGGTGTGTCGTCTGTGAAGGTGCTGCTTCTGTGCCACGAACAATTGCGATTGTTTTTTCCAAAAGCCTAGAGTTTGTGACAGCAATGCCTTTTGTTTGTTCTGGGAGGTAACTTTGGAAATCTTCTTGGTCTCCCCCAACTACTAAAAAATAAAACATGTCAATCAAAGTTTATCCTCAAAGGCTTTTTTTTTTTACTACTTGTATTAGTAATAGTCGTATCAAATAAAAATGAAACGCAAATAAAATAAAGAGCTGATGCAGGGAAAAACATATTATGAAATATGTTATAAAAATAGGTGAGGTATGTGCAAACATGGGTAGCAGAGGGGAATATCTCCAGTGTTGATTTACTATATTTAATCATACAAATTCCCCAGTGGCAATCACTTGCACTTTATTCATTTTTAATCACTGATCACATTAATTTAATGGTTCCTACGGCCTCCATGCATTGGAGCTGTAAATTAAAAAAAATAAAATCACAATGCTCTTTGCTTCTGTGGATAAAGTGATTTTCTATAAGAAGGAAGAAAACTATGTGAAACATGAATATAATTATTTCTTAAATGACATATTTGTTAATATTTGACATGTTTCATCATATTGGTTTACGTTCAAGAGCCTTGACGGCATATTAAATTATTTAAATCCTGCTGTGGCTGAAATTAATTCACTGAATTGGTGACAGATACTAGATGGTGTGTGACTGATTAGCTGATTATTAAATGTCTGGTGATTTATCTATTAATTGTGGTGCTAACACCAGGCGGTTTTGTGATTATGTTACATTTTGTTGTTACACATTACACTGTAAATTAGATGGAAGTGGAGGATGACAATTTCTACATGAATCCATAAATGCATAAATTATAACGTTGATCTGTTGACTTTTTTTTTCTGTTCCTGATGTTTCCAAATTTACAAAGTTAAAGCCTAAGAACTAGATCTGCCAAGTAAAACAATCAACAACCACTCAACAAACCTGCAACACCAACCAACTTACTATTTAACAAAGGCTAAAAAGATCATTTGAAAACAAAAGGTCATTTTATTCTATCTTCACCCCAAATTAATATCAAAAATATTACATACCTGTAAGCAGGAAAACAGCAAGTGGAAGGGAGGTAAACTTCCACATTTCGGGTTTTGTCTTTTAGCAGTCACTATAAAGCTGTTGGTGGTCCGTTATGCACAGGGTTTCAGCTGTTTGCAGATATATCCGCATGGAGCCTGATAGTGTCGTCACTTGCAAGGTGGCTGTCCTTTGAACGTCATTATCACAAAGATCACATTTCTCTGTAGCTTTTTTTTTTCAGTTACATATGATCTACAGCGTCAATGAATTCAGAAAATATTAATCAAAAGTAACTGATAAAGAACTACAACAAAAGTTTATTATAAAAAATGATTGCAAAGTGTGGCATTTCAGTGACTGATCAACATGTGTCGTTAACATGATGGTCATTCATTCGTCCACTGCAATATACTTTTTTAACCATTTCCTGAGGTAAAATGTCTATGCAGCTTAAGAGATTTTTAAAAATAGACATCTTGTGAGACTAGTTTGAATTCATAGTGGATTTTCCTTAATTCATATAATCAGACATTCTCCCATAAAATATTAATAAATGTCTTTTTTTTTATTGCATAAAAGCACCAATTTTTATTTATTTATTTTTTTGCCATTAACAAGGTTCTGACATCCTTCTTGCTACACATATTTCAATTAGTTGGTCCGGCACTGAACTGAGTTTCCAGCATGGTTTATAACTTTTTAAAAAGGGGTGGAGGGCCCAACCTGAAACCTTACTTTAGCTTCTTTATTAGTTTCACAGCCTACAGTCTAGTCAACTCTACATCATCATCATCATCATCATCATCATCATCATCATCATCATCATCATCATCATCATCATCATCCCCAGATGGGAGTTCCAACAGTATGAAAAATCCAAACAGAGTTAAAATGACTTTAGAAAAGATAAAGCCAAATACTATTGAGCTTCAGGAAAGACAATGATTTAAAATGTATAACCTATACTTGGCCATGCCAGATAGCCTGCCAGTTTAAATTTCCTCTACATTTTCTAAACAATTGTGATCAAACGTTCGGATTCAATTACCACAAATGCTGTTGACGGGGTAAAACAAGTGTGTAATCTGACTGCAATTAGTGAAGGATATAAAACAGTGATTTCACGTTTTTGAATTTAATTTGAATGTAAATATAATCATTCCAAAACCTGACAGTTTAATATGGTGCAGCATCAAATTCATATGAAATTCAAGACTTATGTAAATTTCGGATCGGTACTGTCATAGCAGACACACGATTACAAATATCTAGCATTGTATGCATCTTTTATTTTTTAAAGACAGAGCCTCCAAACAAATGGTTACTCTGCAAAAAACGCAAAATATTTTTTTTTGCTCCCTAATTAAAGACATAACATTGATTTTAAAAATATATATATATTCAAAAAACGTCTAGTCAGAAATGTCATGAAACAAAGAGCATTGCTAATGGACGTGATCTTGCTAATGTAGACAGAATGATTACAAGCATGAAGATATTCTTAATCAATTATATCTTTAATTCTTTAGGTCACAAATAAAACCTTTACATCAGAATCATTAATGATGAGAAAACATCTTCAATGCAATTTCATTTGAATAAGTATGAACGAGTTAAAAAAATGCTTTTCTATACTGAACACAAGAAAACAAGAGATTTTGCTGCATATCAAAACATTTCAGATTATATTTTTACTCCTCTGCTTTGATGAGTTTCACACAGGAGTGCAGAATCTCAAGACCATGAAGCTCTCGAAGTTTGTGCACATGTCTGAAAATATGAAGAAAAAATAGGGTTTTTTTTTTAAAGAAAATATTTTGACAGAGTGTCCAGTGTGCTGGCATTCAATTTAAACACTTGTGTGACCTTCGCCACAGAGCAATCAACTCATCCTCAACAAAGTCCAAGCCTATCAGCCCTAAGGTGCATTTAGGGCCTTCAAAAAGGACACTGACGTAAGGACACTTACATCAGATTAGAGCATTTATTACAGAATGACACACAGTTGTGCTTGGTGTTGGCTGCTCTCAAATATCAAGCGATGCTCTTGTACCATTAAAGCAAGTCTGACAGTCTGTCCATGAGCCTTGTTATTCACAACATTTGACTGAATGTACACGATAGGAAGAGAGACTCTTTCTCAGCTGAAGTGGGACGACGGCTTGCATGTAGAGGTCAAAGGCAGGCCAATGCAGAAGCAACGTGTTAGGAGGCACAACGAAAAGACTTTGATCCTGTTACAAGTTTTGCCGATTCAGCAAAGAAATCCTTTTAGCCAGCATACCTGTTTTATCATTTATAACAGAGTGATATTAAAGTTGCCTTTTTTTTTTTTTCTAAAAGGGTTTGTAACAGCTTGGAACTATAGCCGAGCGTCCCCGAAAGTTTGGAAGAATTCACTAACACACATTCATCTCGTAGAAAGAGAATCTCTCTTTTCCTGAACGTGTTTATGCTTCCCAAATTGTCCAATTAAAACTGTCCAGATTTCAGTGACTGTGTAATGGAATACAATGTTGATCCAATTGCAACATAATTCAGGTGAAATTCAATAATTCAACTCATGCGAGCATGCATAACCATATCTGTGTGATCAGCAAACAGATCAGATCAGAAACCTCCGATGCAATATGCAAGAGAAATAAGTCAGAAAAAGGTATGAGACCACATTGTTATGCACAGTGCCGTTTTCTTTGATTGCGAGGATGAAAACTCTTTTTAGCAGATACACAAACGAGAGCGTTGTCTTTGATATTCCAAAGACAACGCTCCACCGTGATTTTAGCTAGACCAAGAATTTACTGCGGCCATCGTGTGTGATGAGCATCCAGTGGGAGTTGCTGAAACATGGTTAATGTATGCAAACTGCACTTGGTCTGCGTCTGATGGTTGCTACGACACTCCAGACTGAGCTAAATAACCACCAAGTGGTAACGGGTTCTTCTCCTGCCCTCGGTTGGGTAATAAACAGCATACCCACTGAAACGTGTGCGTCGTGTTTGACAGGTAAAATCCTGGAGAGGAAAAGGAACAACAGGAGAATGCAAAATTGGCTGTAGCTGGGCCAACTTGGGACGAGTCGCTGTGCAGACAAGATTTCATTTGCTACCAGTTCCAGCTGTTTACTTGTATTTTGCGGCATCTGGCTTATGACCGTTCTATGGTCATATATCAGAAACTTGTTCCAAGATTAACGTAACCAACAAGATCATTATACTGATTAACTCTGTATGGTCGATCACTAATGGCAAGTGGTCTGGTAAAGCTGTTTATTATCAAAAAATAGTGTTTCTTCTGAAATTACCAATGCAATCAAAAGTTTAATGGTCACTTAAAATGAGGTTTTAATGTTGATTTCAGGTTAAGCTGTTAAAACTAAGCATAGGAAATTTTAACACAGTAGACAAATAATACTATTTTATCCAAAATAGACGACACTACAGCTGGATCCGCATAAATGTAAACATCTGGTGTTGGTTATTACTTATTTGGAAGAAAAGACAACTGCTCAGCAGACAACTTTGTGTAATAACAAAACAATAAATAAAATTTTGCAACCTGTATAAAATTCTCATCTTCATTTACTTACTACCTGATAATGTAAAAAAAATTCCCAGAACTGAAGGTATACACAGCCAGGATAATCTAAGAATCCACCCACAGATCTAGATTACGGTTGAAACAGAAATTAGTTGACAACTTTCGAGACTCTTATAAGTGTCAGGATACATTTAAGCAAAATTTGCATAGCAGCAAAGATGCTCTATGGCAGTCAAAACGAAGACAATTTAAACAGTTCTCTCTTGCATCATAAGTAATATTAAACATTTTCAATTGTTTTTGAAAGCACAAGAAAACATTTGAGCTGCTTTCTTTGAGTAAGATGCTAGTAACTCGCTAGCTTAAGATCACAATGTCGCCTGCTAACTGCAGATAAGACACTGACCACTCAGAAGTACTCAGCAGGAGCTCCACTTCAAATAAACAAGAAATCTTTTCAAAGCCAAGACAAAAGCCTCTGACATTTTGACATGGCGGGTTGTGGTTTAAGCCTAGCAGTAGACACAAGAGACATGGGGAAATAATCCAGGGAACAGAGCCAGAGGAGACTAATTACAAAACTAATGCAGAATTTTTAATTGATCTCTTTCCCTCTCTTTAGTCAGTAGCCTGCTAGGATTTGGAAAGGGAGAAACACACTACAGCTGCCAGTCAGTTGTGCTAACCAGCAGTAATAAATAGATTTTTTTTGTTTGTTTGTTTTTTGTTTTGTTTTTTTTCCCCCTTTTTCAAAAAGCACAAGAAAACATTTCCACGTTTTGAGAATGGGTGGGTTGCCATCCAAGGAAACGAAATGAATGCTCTTGCCTTTGTGAACATTTTAATTCAGCTGCAAATAAAGATCTCTCTTTTGTTTTAAACCCACTTTTATTTTTTTTTTAAACGCTGATGAAATTGTTATTTGATTGCTGCAAGGTCTAAAAATATGCACAGTTCAAACACACCTACTCATTATTCATGAAAAGAGATGTGTGTTAAGTCTTGACAATTCAGAATATTAAAGAGACATGCACTCAGAAAGTAGTAATAGCCCAAAATTGCACATTAGTTTTATGTTTAGCTTCTTCAGCCAGAGCTCTGTCGTCACTTTGAGACCATTTCAAACTTTAATAGCATTAGCTTTCAGAATGTAAATCATATTTAGTGATCTGTGAGGTGACGTGTTACCTGGGCTCAGATCGGCACAGTTTGCTGAGAGCAATGGCTGCATTTTGCTGCACAGCTGTCTTCTTAGGCTCCCCCGCAGCTAGCCGCAGCAGAAGCAGCACAATATCAGTACCCAGCAGGTGGGTGGCAACTCCTTCCAGCTCAAAGCAGTGGGACAAGCACAAAGCTGCATTTCCTGAAATCACCTCATCGCTGTTGGAACGCAGCAAACGACGTAAAATGGAGAGTTCTGCGCGAAATAACAAGTGGAAACCAAATCAGGAAAGCATACAATGATGAAAGTCATAACCATTAATAAACAGATGAAGGGAAATCAGAAGAAACCTTTCCTTTCTTTTTAGGTGAACTAGAATTGTGCTTTGTTTTTTTTAACTTTTATAATTTCTTTAAACTGTTTTCCATGTCAGAAAATTAATTACATTTTCTCAGTACTTGGGTCAAATGTTTAGGGACTCTTTCAAGCTTCTCACAGCAGTTTGCTGGAATTTTAGCCCAATCATGAGAACATAACTAATTCATTTGGGAGTATTTTCAGGATGATTTTTTTTTTTTTTTTGTGAAAGATCTATCTTAACCCAAGCTTCAATTTCCAGGCTGATGTCTTCAAATTTTGCTTCAATATTTTCGCACATTATTCTTTTCTGTCTTATCATCTGCCAGCTTCTTCACAAGTTTTTGTTGTTGTTCTCAACCTTACAATGGCTGGACATTTTTTCATGCTGTTTACGAATTCGGAAGCTTCAAGCATCTAGAAATTTTACCAAAAAAAAAAAAAAAAAAAAAAGGGGAATAAAACCCTGGAGTTCCCGGGGGTTTT